CCCCCCCTAAAGAAACATTTTTTTTTTAAAACGTCGGTCTGTAAAAATTATGCCAAAAAAAATCAGCATTAATAACTTAGAAATGTGATGGAGTATATTCGTATCTAATTTATATTTTACCTCTATTGGAGTAGCACGTTTGGTATCTCCAATCTTCTGGTACCTCTCCTTCAGTGTATCCGCCTTAACAGAGCAAATTCTTAAATTCATGGAATAAAAGTTTTTAAAGATACATATATCTAAGGATTAGATAGCGCCGAAAATCTAGAAAGCAGAATACATTAAAAAAAACATTTATACAGTTCACCCTAAAGATGTTTACCTTCAGCCCCTGCTAGGGCAGAATACACTGTGTTTACATAGAAAAACCAGAGATGCAGTTCATAAAGTTTGTTTACCTTTCAGCCCCGGCCCTGCCAGGGCAGACAGAATACACTGTGTTTACAAAAAAACCAGAGATGCAGTTGACCATAAAGTTTGTTAAAATTCAGCCCCTGCCAGGGCAGAACACACTGTGTTTACATTAAAAAAAACCAGAGATGCAGTTGACCACGAAGTTTGTTTACCTTCAGCCCCTGCCAGGGCAGAATACACTGTGTTTACATAAAAAAAACCCAGAGGTGCAGTTGACCACGAAGTTTGTTTACCTTCAGCACCTGCCAGGGCAAAATACACTGTGTTAACATAAAAAAAACCAGAGGTGCAGTTGACCATGAAGTTTGTTTACCTTCAATCCCTGCCAGGGCAGAATACACTGTGTTTACATTAAAAAAACCAGAGATGCAGTTGGCCATTTAGTTTTTTTATAACTTCAGCCCCTGCCAGGGCAGAATACACTATGTTTACATAAAAAAAAAACAGAGATGCAGTTGACCATAAAGTTTGTTTACCTTCAGCCCCTGCCAGGGCAAAATACACTGTGTTTACATAAAAAAACCAGAGATGCAGTTCACCATGAAGTTTGTTTACCTTCAGCCCCTGCCAGGATAGAATACACTGTGTTTACATAAAAAAAACAGAGATGCAGTTGACCATGAAGTTTGTTTACCTTCAGCCTCTCCGGGGCAGAATACACTGTGTTTACATTAAAAATACCAGAGATTCAGTTGACCATAAAGTTTGTTTACCTTCAGTCCCTGCCAGGGCAGATTTCCCCGAAGGAAGTACATGAACATGTGTCCGAGAGCCTAAAATATTAATAAAAGTTCAAAAGAAATAAGAAGCTAAGAAATAATAATTTGATAATACCGAAAAGCCATAGATATTAGTAATGCACATTGTACATTAATCTGTGAAGAGGATATTTGCATAAAAACAAAATTAGTCTTAACCTAATGAAAGGTAGCTCCATGGATCTGGATCCGGAAATAATTAAAAAAAGATATTGACCGAAATAAAAAATTATGGTTCTTTTCATAACATTTATCTGAAGGGTTTGTGCAAATATTTCGGATAACTAAATTCAGCAAAAAATAAATAATAGAATGTATCCTTGAAAATACCTCTAAATCATCTCGCCTACTTTGTTCTTTGCCTAGATGAGTGTTGATTGACATGTATCTAAATAGAAAATAAACATAAATGAATTTTTAGTAAAAAAGTGAAGGTTCTCGGTTTTTGACGAAGTTGGATTTGTGTTTCATGAAAATGTTTCACCCTTAATTATCGTATCTTACGAGTTTTAGGTCGTCGTCATAACCGTCTCTTAGTTTGAGGGTAACCCAGTATCTGTCAAGACTGTAAAATTTTAATGTAGGATAATTTCGAAATCCGCAATAACGCAAAAATTGGTGACCTTAAACGCAACATCTAAACGCTAAAATTATTGTTGGAAATGCCTAGCTGTATACACTATAAAGTTTTGATGCAGGAGCGATTGCGAAACATTATGAACGTTTGAATATTAAAGAAGACAGGATATTAATTTTGTCCATTCATAAAAAATAAAATATAAAATCCCTCGGAAATGAGAGAAATCAGATCCAATCTTTATGTAGATAGGAATAAACTGGGGTTGTTTCCAATAAACGTAGAAAAAGCATTGAACATTATCAGGTCGGGATTAAAAAGTTCTTATTTCTTCAATATACAACGAAGAGAAAAAATATGCTTATAAAAAGTGTATATTAGTGGAGGGACGCGAAGCACTGTATAGTATAATGTTGAGTGCATGAGTGCAGAGAAAATGTAAATACAAAAACTAAGGATCTTATCGCTTCCCACAATGTACTTTTATACGTGACTCTTGCTAAAACTTTCCACTCGTACGATATTAATAATAACAGCAACGATATGAGATTGTACACACTTTTCAGTTATCATATAATGAGGTAACATTTTTTTACTTTGGACAAAATGGCTTAATTTCGACCGTAAAATATGCTTTCCTATCGTGCACCCGATCGGTTCAGCCGTTTTGACGTTAATTGTATCAAACCAATATAAATAGAATCCCTCTCACCTGGCAGTACCCGTGAGACTCTTGTGCTCTCTGAAAATAAAAAATGTTAATGCAAAAAATAAAAATATATAATCTAATATTTCTTTAAAATTTGATGAGATTTTTAAAGAATCTGTGGATTTTAATAAATTGTCGGATCCTTTTCACGTTTTCCCGGGAAAACTTGATTAAACTAGATTTTACGTTATTTCTCAAAATATTATAGATTTCATTTTCTCATTTTTCTCATCCTAAACAGATGTATATTCACAGGCTTACCGCCCACCCAACAGGGGTGAATAATTATAAATAGTTAATAATTTCTTGCCAAACAAGTTCTAAAATTTTAAGTCTCCTTGTAAAATAATAATTAATTCCCCCCCCCCCTCATTGCGACTAAATCAAGACTTAAGTCTAATTCAAAAACCAATACATACATTTTACTAAATTTTACTTAAACAGGGGTGTATATTTTTAAAACTTAAACCCCCCTGGAAAAAAATATATAATTTTTGATGATTTCGAAAAAAATTGGACATCATTCAAACTTTAACCTACGAAAAAAAGACGAAGATACATGAGATTAAGATTTTTAATCACAGATCAATTTTACTCCATTGCTAAAAACTGGAAGGGGGGGGGGATCAACTGTACTGAACCTGTATGGTATATGTTTGTTTGTATCGTGATCAATGTACTCCTTGGCTAAACCAAAATCCACAATAAAGATGGTTTTATCCTTCTTCATACTCGTTCGTCCTATCAGGAAGTTTTCAGGCTTCACATCTCTAAAAACAAAACATTTTTTTAAATTTAAAATACAAAGAGATGCGAGGTTTTCGCATCTCTCGCGGAACTCAAAAGAAAAAAGAGTACACTTTTTCTGATCAATAAGGTGAAAGAACACGTCGTTTTTCTAAATCAGCATGTCCTATACTTTGTTTAATAGAAAAAACAAGTCACATTCATAGAGAACCCAAAATTGAAAATGATCAGTTTCCTTGGTATAAACAATAATTAATTTTTTTAAGGGTACTGTTGTAAATCAGACATGGGAGGGTCACTTAATATAACGTCCACAATCCCTTCAATATAAACGTTTTACTAACCTGTAAATAAGATGTTTACTGTGAATGAACTCTATACGGGTGAGGAGCTGAATAGCTATGGATAGTACAGTCTTCAGCGTGAATTTTCTGAACAAGATTTAATTAGTATCGACGAAAACAAAACAAAAAGATGTTTGCTCACTGCAGAGCGGACTGTTGTAAATTCTCTTTGGTTTCAACCTCAGTTTTCCTTAAAATTTCAGCCAATTTGGTCCGGTCGATTAGCCAACTATACCAAACAATTAATACATGTATAAATATATTTATATATAGAAATGAGCGAAATAAAATATTGAAAAGAAAGAATCTAGTCAGTCAAAATATTTAAATTTTACAATTAATTTTATTTATTTCTACTGTTATTTTCAAGCATAAATTGAGAATTTGATTTTGCAACTTCTAATTTTCAGTTTGCATTACTAAGCTCTTATCAAGCCAATGTAAAATCTGGCATTGCGTTTGTGATTTAAAAAAAAATGTTGTTAATAATTTGTTTTCTTGTTTAATCAAGCCATCCATTTAATCAAGTTGTGGAGGACGAAATTAAAACATAACCTTAAACTGTTTTGAATAAAACGACCCATAAATATTAATGGTTAGCTCATTAAAAAAGATAAATCTATATAATAAAGCTTATCGTGCATATATATGTCAGCTATGGCTGGCCAAACGGTTTGACATAATGGGCAAAAACTTTTTTGAGGAAACCCATGAGAAATCGACGGGTAACAAAGACCAAATTCAAAAAAAAATTCTCTCAAAAATCAACGTTTTCCTTTAATTTTTCCTTCCAGATAGTTTAAAATAATTATGAACCCCTGGGATTGCAAGCCTTCAAATCCATCTTTCAACGTTACTAATATGATGCTGTCACTCCTATTTATTGATTAATGGGTGGAGGGTTTGTATTAATCCTATTTCAAGTTTAGTTTAGAAAATTAGGCAAAAATAAACATGGGGGGGGGGAGGATGTAAAAGGTGTTTAACAACCATTTAATCTACAAAATTTAAAATTCATTACTTTTAATAAGTCAAATACTTTAAGGGATCATATAGGGTATGCGAATCTGACCTTAGTGCCCCCAGAATACAATCCCTGTTGAACAGAGCTAATACAAATGTGAAAAACACACTGAGTATTGGATTAAAACAGTTCATAGGGGTAAATAGAATTTAAATCTGAGTGTCAAATCTATTTAGATATGTCAATTTTGTTTTTCTTTTCATCGAGTTCTATATCATAAATTATGTAACATTACACAATATACATTTATATATTCTAAAATGTTGCATTGATTAAGTATTCATAATATTAAGTAAAGTGGAATATATGTGGGGCATCGATTGAAAAATATTAAATTATCATTTTCCTTTGCGGACAAGTACATGTTATTCAAATAATACATTTCCACAATTTTAAGATGACATGTTTTTTCCATGCTAGTCCTATTAATAGGATAAATTACCTGTTGCATATATCAAATAGATCCTCTAAACTCGGTCCCAAAAGTTCCATAACCTTGAATACAGAAATATTAAAAATCGATCAAGCTAATTACCAAATCAAAATTTGATTTGAATAAAATCACCGAAATAATCAACCTAAGAAAAACGTGGCCATACTTCTGGGTTTAATTGATCAATTGATAAATTATGCTAATAAAAAAGATCACAAAAATAATAATTTTAAAAAAGATCCTGACGAAATTATTAATAATCACTTAAGTTCGTTAAAAAAAAGATATAAAAGCCCCATATTTGAATTTAGTTCTATATGTGTAAGCGTAGAAAATCCCCAAAATTGCTTTTTGTCAAAGGGTGTTTAAATATTTCGTGACAAAGTATTAGTTTAATAAATTTATTGATGATATGCTAATTCACATATTTACAAGAGGGAGTCATGACTTAGGGCCAATCTAATTTGATACAGATCTGGATTTCTGATTTAGATTGATCATAATATTCAAATCTTAATGTATTTCACAAAACTTAATTTTATTTTTACTTATTCCGGATTTAGCTAGAATTTTATAAATTAAGTTTCTAGGCCGTTATTAGAGATAAAATTTAAGCTTTTAAAATTGTTCAAACATTTAACGATATGACGTTAAAACATTTGACATCCCTTGCGTACATTCGAATATTCAATATTCAAAGCACAGACACGGTATTTTCTACATTAATTGGATACAAACTAACTAATAGCGCATAACTTGTATAAGGAAACTAAAAATATACAAAATTTCAAAATGTAATTTTTCTTTTCTGTTCGGATATTAAAACCTTTTTTTGTACACTCGTGTCAGCCTTATGAAGTCATAGCAAATAAACGATTTAAAAAACATGTCACACAATTAAAAAAAATTATAAATTTAATAATAAAACTTGTTTTAGTTTTAATTATTTTCACAATTAAGGGAGGGAAAGGGGGGGGAGGGGGTGGCTTAAATCTAGGAATTGACGGACTGTTGAACTGTAGTTAAAGTATCATAACCCGAAGAGAGGTGAGGGTTATATAGTTTTACTGCTCTTCGTAAATATTCGTTCAAAACTCTATACTGGACGGCTGTACAGAGCAAAAACAAGTGAAGCGGGAGGGGGGTTTCTTTTTAACACGGAAAAGTTGGTGTTCTAATACTTTCTAAAAAGGAAAACATTTATTGAATAGCAGTTTACACATTGAACTCGGAAAGTCTGAATTCTAACTTTCTCTTCAACACAATAAATACGGAGGCCTGTATCAGTGGTATAACGTTATCAATTATTTATTGGGGATTAGCGGTGACATAGTACTTAGTGAAATTGTTAAATAAATATTAAAAACCCTTTCGTACACTTTTTTTAACTGTTTGTTTATTTAAATTTAATAAATGTCGAGACGATAAAACAGATCAGACCTAGTTTGTTTGGTGGTAACTCAAATGACTCCAAAAATGGTTAATAACCAGTAGAAACTTAAAAAATTGCCTCAGAACAATATTTCAATTTTGTTTAGAAATTCGCCGTTAACCAGTAGGAACTCAAAAAATCAGTGAAATTTAAGAAAAGATGGTGGCATTGAGAGCAATTGTATGAAGGTGTGTGTGTGTGGGGGGGATTACTTGCGTGCAGGGAGGTTAAGATCTTAAACGCGTAAATAACTCACCAATGCATTGTACTTTCCACAAGGTCCAAAATAGAATATCTCAGGGACACCATCTCCGATAGTTCCAACTTGTTTATAGAACCTAGATAAATAGATTCAGATAGATAAATAGAGAAAGATATATATTAGCTAAAGTGCGTTGTAAGTTAAATTATATAGACCTTGCGACAAAATGACGAATTTTGAAGATTTTTATTTAGCCTGTTACCCCAGGGTACCCATGGGTTCCCTCGACAAATTTCAGCCGATTTGATTCAGCTGTTTGGCCACCTAACATACAAATATGACATAAAGAAAGATAAATAGGGGAAAAATAGATAATTGCTAAATAAAATGATTGTTAACAAGAGACAGACTAATAAATGAAGGAATTTAGATAAATCGATAAAATGTATGAATAGATTTAGATACATAGAAAAACAGAAAATCATATAGATGGGTAGATGTGATAATAATAAAAAGATGATATAGATGTAAAAGATTAATTATGAGAATGGGTATTACATATTACATCGATTGCAATAAATGTATAATAAAATAAACTGAACAAAAAAGTAATAATAAATGTTGGTTCACATAAATATTAAATCCAGGGATGTATATAATTCCAATTTTTTATATTCATTCCAGCCCCCCCTCCCCTCAATTTCGTAAACATTTTTTTAGTCAAAGAGTTGTTTCTCCATGGAATGATTTACCCTGTGATATAAAAACTGCACCAACGTTAAATACTTTTAAATCCAGATATGATAAATATGTAAAAATTTCTAATCTAGTTTATTTTGTTGGGACAAAAAGAGCCAAAAAAAGATTACTTTAAAGAAAACAGAAAGGCCAAATAAGAAGTAAAAAATATAATCTAAGAAAAAATTTAAAAGAAAACGTGTCAAAAAATAAAAAAGAAAAAATGTCAAGGAAGAGAAAAATAAAAACTCGACCAAAAAATAAAAAATAAATGTCCCTTATTTTTAATCTTGATCCACTGGATATTCGTAATCATTGAATATAATATACTCTGTATATTAATGTGACATATGCAACCATATGAATATCATGACAACAATCGGAAATTTTCTTATATACTCCGCCAGGAGTCCTGAAAATAATCCTGACATAAACATAAACAATTTGTTTCCTTCCCCATAAGACAACATGAAAATATGTATTTCCAAGATTCAGAAAAGTGTGAAACAGTTGTATAAACCTAATCGATTTTAACTATTTGAATGCTTTATTTCATAATACTTTAAATTCAAATTTTTGAGTGGGGATTTCCATATTATCTAAACCTTTAAAATATTGAAAACAATGTGTAAACATGCAGATATCCGGGTTTCCACATTTCTGCGTATTTGTTTTCAAGCTTGACATCGGTGCAAAATCAGTGACGCGTTAAACGGATCTCATTAACACTTTCAAAAATCCAATATCATGATTTCATTCGCAAAACGCAGCTTTCGCATATTTCAAAAAAAATCGAATCGATTGAGTTAACGAGAAAATTTGATTTGCGTCGTAATATTCCAGAGTTTAATCAGGGGGGGGGGGCAATCATTTATTTACAAAGAGAAAATTCGAAGGATCATATTATCATATCCTATTATGTAATTTCTCAGAATTCTATCTTAATAAACAATTTTTACGTGGAAGAAATAATGTTTTAGAGCTTGTTTGGAGAACATAGAAATCTTAAAATTAAATTAAACGTTGTCAAAAAAAGAGTTAAAATTTTCTTTGACCATGAACTTGGTTAAAAAAAGTGATAAGTATTTGAACCACCGGTTTAACCAGTTCTCTTGTACGCTTGATCGAGCAAAAGTAAAGTGGTTCAAAGTAGTTTTCTACTTTTACTACTGCTTAAATCAGGTCCCAGAAAACATTTTAAAAATGAGATTGATCAAAATTAAAATCTTAACATATTTAGTTAGAAATATGTTAAGATTTCTGTTGATTCCAAATGAAACTGTCAAAATTGTCCAATTATAAACACCATGCGAACAAAATTTGATTTTTTAATCCAAAAAATACAGCTCTTTTCCCATGACACGTTTATGTTGTCTTTTTAAGGGTCCGCTACACTTTTACATCGGTTATAAGAGTCATTTAATACATTTAAAATTTACATTAGCTCGATCAAATTAAAAAAATTGTTCGATTAAAAATTACCTGTACTCTAAGTGGAGTTGAGGAGCTTTAGATTTCATCGGTTCTAGTTTAATGGCAACATGTTCATTATTATACAAATTCTTTCCCAGACGTAACTCGCCAAAATTTCCGCAACCAATCTTCTTTCCGACCCTGTAAATAAAATAAGAAAATAAAAAAAAGATTGGATTTAAAAGAACTATTTTTACAGTCTGTCCTAGAGAACGATTTATGGACCCCCCCCCCCCCATCAGTTTTGTACATTATTATTATTTTTATTACTATTTAAAGGTTAGGTTAGGTTAAGATAATTTCTGGGTTGAGCGCCGCGGCTAGGACAGGCTAGGGAGCCGAGCGCCGCGGCTAGGGGGCCGGGCGCTGCGGCCACATGACAAGTTATAACTGTGTTACATATGAGATCCATTAACAAAATTGATAGGAGGGGGGAGGGGGTGGGGGTTCACAAATCTTTAACTATGAAATTTCTTATTTTTATCTGTTTTGAATGAAAGTTTTCACCTGAAGTTTGGTCCCACCATGAGTACAGAGGAGGAGGGGGTTGGCCCCGACCGAGTGGCCATGTTGGATCTAGTCCGACTACTCGTCTGGCTTATTCTAAGAATAAATAACTGGTCACACTACACCATCTTGGACTTTATCGTCACTTAATACAATAAAATCTGGACTACTCAATCCTATACAGCAGATTTCATCCTGCACATTGGGTTTGGCTAAAAAGGGGGGACTGATTTCTGTAGAATAGAAATTGATTTAACTAATTCTTATCTGAAAACTATAATTAAAAATTAAGCTCGAGTGCATTAAAAATATATAAAAATTATTTTCTACATAAATCCAACCCCGGCACACCCCGCCTGCCTGACTCAATAGAATTGCTGGATAACAGATGATGGCATGAAGACGGCCCTGTACCAGAATCAGCTGTAAATCCGACCAGCTCAGGACAGAATCCCGGTCCGGTACCTAGACCAGCCTAGGCAGACCGGACCCGTACAAAACCCTTCAACGCGTACCGGACCGTTTTGACAGACGACCAAGCAGGAGGAATCCAGTCGTGACGGTAATTAAAATTCTTGAGATCTGGTAACGGGATGGTCTGTACGGTACATTTTCTCTCATCCCTATAAGCTAGACAGTGACGTTGGTAGATTTAGCCGGTCGGTACAAGCCGGTTGAGTTACGTCACAGAACCAGAGTGATAGATATTATCTATCTATCTTCTCTTACTGAGATAGAAAAAAGTTTACTGTTGCAAATCGGTTCTGGAACGTTTTTAAGTGGTATTTTTTTATTTACCTCTACAATTCAGAAAGAAACATACAATGAGAACCAGAAAATTGTGAAATGGGACGACGACTTTATAACACAACACAAATGTCTTTAATGTTGTTGCAAATCAAATGGTTAAATAGGTCTGTTTACACTTCACAATTGCAGTGTCTTAACTATATTTAAAATCATAACTGAACCATCTTCCTACTTCAGAGATTTCTGGTTCTGACTGAATTTTTCTGCTATCTACAGGGACTGGGAGATATTTCAAGTAACCCTACATTTGCTTAGTAGCACTTTCGATTCACAAGGGTACGGCCTAAATCTGAGCAACAACGTGTTTCCAACTGTCTTTAAGTGTTAAATTCTTATAACTTCCTTCAATTTCTCTAACGAACAAATCCGCAGTTGGCTTTAAAAGAGAAACCACAATTGAAAATATTCATTTAAATAAGAAAAACAAGATTTTCTCATTAATTCAGAGTGGGTTCCGATCTGAATCATAAATGCCACTCTACAAATTTAGGGTCACTTGCAATAACGTCTTCAGTGCCTCATGGGTGTATACTCTTCTGTTAGCCCCCCCCCCCGGGTTTGGGGAAAAAAATGAAGAAAAAAGGGAAAAAAGGAGGAGGGGAAGGGAAGGGAAAAAGGAAAAGAGGGAAGGGAAAAGGGGAAGAGGGAAGGGAAAAGGGAAAGAGGGAAGGGAAAAGGAGAAGAGGGAAGGGAAAAGGGGAAGAGGAAAGGGAAGAGGGGCAAAAGAAAGGGAATAATAAAAAAACACTATTATACACCCCTGCAGTGCCCCTAAATTTTTTAGTCGTTCCTTTGAAGAAAATAATTGTAACAAACCTTGAAATCTGAGTGTAATGTTGTTCAGAATAAATATTAAAATGCAGTTTATCACTTCACTAACAATCTATCACATCGTCTTTTACTTAACTCGTCACTTAGTTCTTTCACTCAAACTGATCGTATCGTCCTTTTTAGCAAAGACAAACTCGTCCTCTAACTGTAGAATCGCTGGACGAGACTTGAAATACGATCCAGGACGATTTCATTTGTTGCTCTACAGTCGGCAGCTGTATAGGGGGGACGAATGGTAACACAACCTTGCACAATCAAACGATCTCCTGAAAAAAATTAAAATTTTATTTTATTTTATCAATTAAATTCAAGTTTGTGGCAAAAGTTAATCTAAAAAGTTGCGATTTCAAAGTATCCTTTAAACCTTCATGTTTGCACTGATGATGGAAACATATTAATTTTTTTTTCTTAAAATTAAGATGGACTGATGTTATAATTATCTTAAATAATGTATATTTATTTTATTTATTTTTATTTTTTATAATTTATTTTACCCGGAGCTGCTAAGAAATATTTGGAAATAGTAAAATCACATTTCAGATTAAGTTTTCAAATGTACCAAGATGATCAAGATTCAATGAATTAATCAGGGGTGTATATTTCTTGCAAAATCACCCCAACCCCCTATTTGAAAATATTTATGGTTCCTTCGCTGAGTGAAAGAAAATAAATGATTTTTAGAGGAACAAATCATTTTTTGGAGAAAAAGTATCAAAAAAATGAAAAAAAAACTTACTTTTTGATTTTCTATTCCCAATTTATCTAAATTAATTTTTAAATTACACCCCTGACATCAACAATTCTCCCAGATTTTCTAGACTTAAAGGAAGGTTAATGTGACAAGGTGACAGATTTATTGTTGAAAAAATAATTTAAAATTCATTTGATAAAATTAACCTTCCACCTCCTGAAGATTTTAGTTGTGAAAAAACAAAAAAAACAATCTGAACCTTGCATAATGATTTTAATTTCATGAGACCAAACTAACATGCTCTTTGGACAAAATTGCCTTTCTGACGTTTTTATTTTCTTTGCAAAAGAATAACTTACACTTCCTGCATGTTTTATATTCATTGGACAAAATTAACCCTAATAATTCAAATTTCCTTGAACAAAAGTAACTTGCGTCGTTTTGCTAGGAGAATAATAACTTTTATTTGTAAATTTCCTTTGTCAAAATTAACCTTATTCTTCCTGACGTTTTTAATTTCATTGGGCAACATTAATCTCAAAGGTCCGAATGGCTTTATTTACCAAGACCAAACTACCAATTCCTGAAGATTTAATTTCCTTGAATTTTATTGATCCATCTATTCTAGAAACTATCTCCAATTGTCAATAATTCCAACAAAAAACTGAAAAACAAGGATTTGCAATTCAAAAACAAGGATTTGATCTTGAAAGTTATTTGCAAGTGAGTAAGTAGATGACAATGCCGGATTTACAACGGTACCCTTGATACCTTTATCTGATAAACAATATGGAAACTAACATCGTTTTCCGGACTCAAAAAGTGATTTGATTCTTGTAATTTCTCCATTGCCTTTTATAAGCAAGAAATACGCAAGTCATATTGCCGATAAACCGCAAATGAATATAATTAGTTTTAAAAAAACAAAACCATTGTAAATCGGGCATTGACATATTTGCATAAAGGGTCAATTAAAATTACGCTTAGAGTCCCTTTAATAGTATTTTCATCAAACAATTCCAACACTTATCTGAAATTAATTATTTTTTGAATACTAGGCTTTTAGGACGCCCATATTCTATTTAAATTGTGAACATGTTCTTTTTGTTTACATTTTAAACAAAGAACAAATTTTAAAAAAATAAAAAAACCTTTAAAACACATCTTTTTTATCATTCATAAACCTTCCCTGGGGTCCCTAGATGTTCCACAAAAAATTTGGGCCCGATCGGTTCAGCCGTTTTGACGTTTATTGGATACAAACAAACAGACACACAGACAGACAAGCCAAATTTATATATAGATATCGATTAAAATTCATGTTGAATGTTGGGACATTTAATTGAATGTTAAGACATTTTATTGAATGTTCAGACATTTAGTTGAATGTTAAGACATTTAATAGAATGTTGAGACATTTAGTTGAATGTTAAGACATTTAATAGAATGTTCTGACATTTAATTGAATGTTGAGACATTTAATTGAATGTTGAGACATTTAATTGAATGTTCAGGCATTTAATTGAATGTTGAGACATTTTATTGAATGTTGAGACATTTAATTGAATGATGAGACATTTTATTGAATGATGAGACATTTAATTGAATGTTGAGACATTTAGTTGAATGTTGAGACATTTTATTGAATGTTGAGACATTGAATTGAATGTTAAGACATTTAAGTGAATGCAGTGTTTAGGGAGCTTAGGATCCGCAACATTTTGGCTTCCTGGATCCGGATCCGCAAACATAAAAGAAGAAAAATGGTTTAAAAATTCTCCTGATATAGAAAATCAGTAAATCTTAAAGAAATGTTCATGATCTAAATCCGGGCCCCTTTTTACCAATGCAGATCCGGATCCGCATCCGCTTTAAAAATAAATGGATTCTAAGCATTGATTTAAAGTAATAAAAAAAAAGATTAAACCCCAAAAATTATTTTCTCAGAAACAAACTGTTGAAAAACAACATTGCAAATAAAAGGTAGTTGGGTAACTTATGGACTTTTGCTTACTGTCAAAAAACTCAAGGCCAAGGAATCTTTATATTTTAAATAAGATTTGACGTATGTCCCAGTGTCCCACCCTAAATAAATAGCAAAAGAGGGGGGATTTGTTACCTTGTTCCTCTAAAGTTAGAGAATGCGACTGAAGAAACTTTGTGAGATTATTTCTGCGTTCCTTTAGTTCCTCAGAACTCAAGGTTGTATTGGAACCAAGGAACAGTTGATTAATCAACTCCTCGGAACAATCCTTAAATAAAAATTATAAACTTCACAGTTTTTGGGGGTAAAAACATGAAAAAATATTTAGATTTTTTTCCCAGGGTTTGCTCAACATTACTTTATTTGCATTAACGGGTTTGCTCAAGTGTTCTCAAAATGTTCTACTAAATATAAAAATATCTAATAAATTAATTTCTGGAGGATGTGATCAGAAAAGAAAACAAGTTCATAAACTAAAACAGAAATTTCTGTTTGGTTAAAAAGTTGACGTATTCATTAAACATTGTTGTTAAATACTTCTGAGACCTGGATAGGGCTTAGCTTAATCGGCTAAACTCGATATTCACAGTGTAAACTTTTAAATTAAAGGATTAAATTTTCAGGATATAAAAAAATACATGAGACTACTTAGAGATAAGTATGAAAGAGCGGCCGTGTTCTAGTAATTAATTAATAGGCCAGCGTGGAGGGACACCGACCAAGTGGGTTATGAACTCAAAATTCAAAAGTTTTGATATCGATATTTTTTACCTTGCTCGAGGACTCCAGGTATTCTACTTTACTCCAGTCCACTGAAGGCACGATCACAATCTCACTAAGAACACATTTTCCTTGAATTTGTTTTTCATGAATAACTTTCTGACTTACAAGGACTGTAACATTGTATTAACCCTGGGAAAATATGAAATTTTTTCTCAAAAATTACCAACCAGCAGTAAAAAGTGTTGTTGGTTTTTTAAAATTGCGAAAAATTGGTTTCTTAGGGCCAATAACTACAAATTTTAGAGGACTATGGCAGATTTCCGCTAAAAATTCCGTTTTTTGCCTTTAACAAATTCGACTTCTAACCGATTTTTATGATTTTAACATTTTTGAATTCGACATACATTTAAAAAAATAAATTTTTGCTTGCACTTGTGATTTATTTTTTACGAAAACGTGATGCACTGCATGAATTTATAAGTGAGAATTTGTTTTAAATTAAGTTTTGCTTTTTTATAGAAACTTTTAAGACACGTGCTGAAAGGATCAGTGTCCGAATTTAATGAATTTAAGCCGCGTCTCAAATCCCTCAAAAACCGGTTTCAATTTAGCGTCGGCTTAAATCTTGAAAAACCTAATACAATTTTAAGTGGAACCAACCATATTTGAGCCGCGGTTTAAATTTAAGCCGCTGCTCAAATTCTTTAAATTCGGCCTCAGAACATTTTTATCAAAAAATTTCTAAATTGTCCCACCTTTTATTGTATACACGTAATTTAAGTTTTGGAGTGACATGTTCGATTAACAACAGTATCGTCTGATTAACAATGAAGAAGAAATCGTCGTTAGTGATGAATTTTGTGTAAATTTCCTTCACTGTTCTGCAGCATAAATCAGCAAGTCACGTTTAATAAAAACCACAGTTAAAAGTTGATCAGAAAGAAGTGAATCGGACGTATCGCCAATCTATGAATGTAGTCCTTTAAGATACGTCTACAGTCCCCTTAAAAAGGATGTTTTTAACAAATTATTTTTTTTTAAAATAATAATTGGTTTAAAGAAAAATTAAAAGTGTAGTCGTCATTGAGAAAAAATCTAGAGCAGCTTGTAAACTGGCCCCAAAATACCAGATATTTAATTAGAAAATCTGTACAGAAAGTTATTGCAGGATTAAGCCAGGCGTATTGCAATTTTAGCAAAAGAATTCAAGTCATTTTTAGTTATTAAACAATGAAACGTTGTCCAGTGTAGTATTAAATATATCAAATTAGATAAGGAGTACGTACATAATTAGTTTTTTTTTGAAAATTCCTTTCATAATATCAATGATTAAAACAAACAAGCAATCAGCCATCATCATGTATTTTGTCAAACATAACCGCAAATACGGTCAATCAATCATCTTTTCGTAGAAGTGAAGGACTGTGACTGTGAGCCACCGCCAAACATACGGTAATTAATGTACCACAGGGTTGAACACTGAACATTTTAAAACGGAATGAGTTTTGAAGATCTGGGAAAAAGAGAGGAAAAATTGGCAAACTTTTTAGCCTTTTTCATACTTCTTTTATTTATATATTTAGGGGGAAAAGAATATGAAAAATTGTACATGAAAAAACAAGAGTTTTTCATCATTTTTCAAACTTCATACCCAAAAATTTCTTTAATTCCCCCTAAAATTTATTTATTCCCCAATTTAGCCAATAAAACCTTAAAAAAAATGTGTTCTCGAGCATACATGCCTATCTCCTTTGGAAAAAAAAAAATGATTTTAAAGACAGGAGAGGGAATTATTTTTCAGGAAAATATACACCCCCTGATGTACCAAAAAATAAAAATTTTTTTTGTGAATTTCGTGCAAAATACAAAGATTAAAGAATATTGAGCGCTGAAGCAAAAAGCTAGCCCTCAGATGAACAAGAGGGACGAACATTGCCTTTATCTCATCAGAGGCTGAATTAGAAGAATTTTAGCCGCGGCTCAAATTTGAGACTAGGCTTAAATATGGTTGGTTCCACTTAAAATTGTATTCAATGTTTCAAGATTTGAGCCGGCGTTCAATTGAAACCGGTTTTCGGCAGATTTGAGACGCAGCTCAAATTCGTTAAATTCGGACACATTAAACTCATTCCTTTTCATTTTTAAGTTGCCAACTTCTTTCGTAAATTTTTTAAATTATACTCTGGTATTTAAATGATACTGTGGTATTTAAATGATACTGTGGCATTTAAATGATACTCTGGTATTTAAATGATACTGTGGCATTTAAATGATACTCTGGTATTTAAATGATACTGTGGTATTTAAATGATACTCTGGTATTTAAATGATACTCTGGTATTTAAATGATACTCTGGTATTTATTGAATTTATTGAAAAGCTTTTAACCTGATCCAACTTAAAAAATAACAAAACACAATTTCTCAAAATTTAAGTATTTTCAAAATTTTCAATATCAATATTTAATAGATTTTTCAGTTGACCAAGTAATAATGCAGTACCTCAAAACTGTTTTTCAAAAAATCCAATATTAATATTTAAGATTTTCAAAAAATCTAATATTAATATTTAAGATTTTTTTACAGCAAGCAATATTATGTTAAGCATCGATCTACATTTTTCATATCAAGTATAATTTTGATTCTTTCAGACAGAAAATTTAATAATGAAATAAAGACAAATTTTATTTTAATTAGATCTTGCTACTTGGATCTGTGAATCGGTTTATTGTGCAGACTTGATCCAGAGAGCGGATCTAGAAAATCCAGATTTTAAGCAGAATAAGTACAGCTTCATATATTTTCAAAGCCCAATTTTAAGGCATTTTCATCTTAAAAATAAAATAAAACAATTTGGATTAAATAAAAGTTTCAATGACCTGTTTAAAAAATAAGTTCAACATCAATTATAGAAAGTTAATTATTGAAAAAGAATTAATTATAAAGTTTTCACCTGTTTTTTAAGTTTTCTTCATCAGCACTTGTTAGCAGAACACAACTGAAATATGAAAATATTATTTTATTTATATATCAATAGCTAAAGTGCCCGGCGATGTTCATGGGAAAAAAATGTTTTAAAAAAATTTGATTAAATTTTTTTTTTGATTTTACAAGCAAAATGTTGATTTTTTAGTCACCCATGGGTTCCCTATAAAAATTTCAGCCATATCGGTCCAGCCGTTTGGCCGTTAAAATATAAATACATAATTATACTGTTGTAAATTATTCTATGAGGATAGTCATGACATGTGAAACATTAAGTTAAATATAATTCTTCTTGAATAAAATGTGAAGTTTAAAAACTGAAATATATTTACTTACAAATATGAAAAAAGGAGCAAAGAGCTTCATTAAAAAGATTAAAAGCTGACGATGTAAACACAATTTTTTTAATTCAAAAATTAATATTTTTCATTTTTAAAGTTAGTTTTTATTTTTCGCCCATATTCAAATTATAGTCTATATATAAATTTGGCTTGTCTGTCTGTTTGTCTATTTGTTTGTTTGTATCCAATAAACGTCAAAAAGGCTGAACCGATCGGGCCCAAATTTTTTGTGGGACATCACGTGACCACAGGGAAGGTTTATGAATGATCAAAATTTCAAATATTTGTCTCCATCAAAATTCGATCTTCATTAAATTTTTGAAAATTTTGAAAATCCGCGAATTTTTTGGTGAAAATCTGTGAATTATTTTTGTTTTGGTTTACGATGTACACAAAGAGAACATGTTCACAATTAATTTAGAAGATGGGCGCGAAGCGCCCTATAAGGCTAGTACTTAGAAATAGATGTAAAAATGTACTTGAAGCTGTAAGTGAAAGTGAAATGGAAGAGTTTTTTAATAAAATGTTAAATTGAAATAAATTCACATAAAAACGATTAATCTATTTTCCAACTTCCTTACTATTCTGATTACTAAAGGGATTGTAAGCGTAATTTCAAGTAACACTCTTTGTAAATACCAGATTTACAACTGTACCCTTAAAAGCTTTGTTAGATCAAGTATGAATTAGTTATCAGGTTTTGGTTCATTTGCATTTCCTTATAGTAACCAATAGAGGGATTATCAGAATTAACAAATTTTCCAGTCAGAAAAACGATAATATCTTCCACATTTTTTATCATGTTAAAGTTTCAAGAGTACCGTTGTAAATAGGCCTTGGCCAATTAAAATTTAGCTTACAGTCCCTTTAAGAAAAATCATGAAATATTTGTGTCTTAAATGATTAGAGTGAAGATGACATAAATTCCTAAACCTGTTCTTAAATAAACAAGGTGCAGCTGAAAGTAAACAAGAATTGCATGTTTATTGCAAACATTGAACTCTTCAAGGAATCTGATCTTCTAAGCAGATTTTTAATTTAAAAACTTCATTTAACTGTTTTCAAACATGAAAAAGTGTACATTATGACACTTTGTACTTAGTACTAACTTAAGTTGAGATGTACGCAATGTGGCCAATCTTGCTCATTTGCTATATTTTGTCATTTTTGCAATAAAGAAAAAAAAATACTCTCCTTTCCAATAATTTCAATTTTACCAATGTTTCAATACAAAATAACAGCGGTAAAATTGTAATCTATGCTGACTTGATAAAACCTGAATAGTTGATGGTTAGCTTAAAAAAATGTAATAAAATAAAAAAATTGTAAATTTGAGTTATGCAAACATGAAATTGGAAAAAACCCAACCCCTTTAGCATTACACCGGTAGTAAAAGGAAATAAGTCTTTGCTGCAAACACTGATTTTCTTATCCCAGTATCTTTGCAAATTATAAAATTATAATATAATCCAAGTTTGAAATATCAAAAGTTTACACCATCAGGTTGCAAAGATATAGGAATGAGACGAGTTAGCGAAAAGACTCCACTGCACTGTATGAATACATGTTAATAAAACAGATTTAAACTTGTTAATTCTACTTTTACAACCCATTTCAGATTAATTCCACCTTAAATAGAACATAAATGTCCGTATAAAAACACCTACAGAAATGTCCTTTAAATCGTTTTTTATAAATCTCTTGTAAACCCTCTGTGCTGTACTCAAGTGGGTCGTTAAAGTTCATTAAAAAAATTCCGGTGAGAAAATTTAAGTGGAATTTTAGTAGAAACAAATGACCTTTCACTTTCTAACCTAATTATCAAATATCACTCTATCTACGACCCCCCCCCCGTAGTTTAAAATATTTGTTGTACAGTTTAAAATATTTGCAGTACAGTATAGAATATTTGCAGTACAGTTTAGAATATTAGGAGTACAGTTTAGAGAGACTGAGGTGAAGCATAACAAAAAAAATTGATTTTTTTCGTTTTAAATTTTAGTACGTATAACAGAATAATATTAAGCAATAAGCATGTACAATAATCTACCAATATTTATATACATTTTTGCAAGAATAACAAGAGGGTTTATTGCACTTTGAGATGTAGGCGTTAGATATCATTTCTAGTAAACTTTATTTAAATATGCCACTCGTGGCACTTCTTCTTAAATCAAGTGGCAGGTTATTCCATATCTTAAGTGCATATCAGATTCTCCAGTCTTAAAGACTGGAACGATTTTTGCAGTTTTAAGGATGGTTGGAATATAATCAGTTTTTATCGACAAATTAAATAAATGGCAGATAGGACTCATGATACTTGGCATAATCGACTTTAATAGGTTTGCAGAATTATTTTCCACTAGCTGAAGAGCCCAGCGTAGCCCGTGGAAAAAATGTTTTAAAAAGAAATGTAAAATGAGTGTCCACAAAAAAATGCAGCCCAATCGGTACAGCCGTTTGGCCGGCTTTAGGCAACATATATAAATAGTAAGAATGTCTTGTTTTATTATATAAATTAGAATTATTATCCATTTCGTTTCTAGAATTTTCCTCTTTGAGTTTCTGTCATTTTTCGCCTATTTTTCTTCATCTTTTCTTTGTAATCTTAATAATCTTTTAAAATGGTTTTCTTCTTTTAAAACACGAATAGGTTGGGTCAGGTGGTTGGAAAGGTTTAGACCATTTTCTGTGATCTATCTATGCCTAACCTACCTCGGGCCTTAAAAGCAGGAAAGCCGAGTTGAGTTCAGTTTCCAAAATTAGACCTTCATGAAGATTAAAACTTAGTTTAATAATAACATAACTTTATTATGAATTGCATGAAATAAACCAATCAACGATTTCTTGTGTGGGGCGTGGCCACCTTTCAAGTAATGATTTTGACTTTTAAGAGCATTATAACATTTTTTTATTTAAAATAAATTAAAATAATCAAAGATTTCTCAGATTTTCTATTCTAATTTACAAATTTTTTTTTTCTGAAAAACGACGATAACTTTTTTCTTTTACCTTCTAACAAGAATTTAAGGCATTATCTGATATTCTGATCAGCATAATAACAGATGCATTCCGCAAAAAATACATGCAATTACACAAATTAATGTAGTCTGATTGTTTTATACAAAGAGAGGGGGAATTGGTTTGTTTACATTTAATTTTACGAATTTGGACAGCTATGCTTTTTTGACAACAATATTGCTTTTTCGCGGATTTTGTTAAATGGGTGGGTTTCTAACATTGACATTTTTTCCTAGGCAACATTTTCTTTTTTTGGTCATAAACCTTTCCTGGTGTCATGTGAGTTGCCACAAAAAATTAGACCCGATCGGTTCGGCCGTTTTTGGATACAAAGAGGCTAACCCAATATATTTATAACAATGCCAGGTCCTGTATTCTAGGACTTAGTCTCAGCAATTATTGTTTACTAGTTCAGAGCTGTCTTACAATGTCATAAAATAATGGGAACCCAACCCCCCTCTCTTAGTTTTAAAGTGACACGAGTTTAACTATCTTGTATCGCGTTTAACAACTTGGAATTCTCAATAAATTAATAACATCACACATTTTTATGACGCAAATATTCAAAATTAGATTTTGATGACTATTCAGGAATGCTAACTGTCGCTCATAACTTTAAATCTTTATTGTTCGCAATAAAATGTTTGTTTCAAAAGTTTTTAATTTTATTGATTATGCCGCAATCAATATCAATTATAAAATAAACAAAATTTACATCACAATGAGAATTAATGAAAAATCAAGAGTCCTCTAACACTTAGATCCAGACTTCTATGACAAAGTTGCATGGATTTTTAAATAAGGGTAGACTTTTAAAGTGCCACAACGCCTTGCCCTTCAAGGGTTCATATTTTCTCAAAAATAATTTCTCCCAATATTTGAAAATATCTCTTATCCCCCCTCCCCAAGTTATTCACGTTAATTATTCTTTTTAAAGGTTTTATTCGCAGAAATGGAGAAAATAACTTTATTTAATAATAATAACAATAAAAAGATAAACATTTTAACACTTTTGAGCAGTGCTTAGGATCCATTTAATTTTGATGCGGATCCGGATCCTGGATACGCACTGGAAAAAAATGGATCCAAATCCGGATCCGGATCCAGGTCATTTCTACAAGATTTACTGAATCTTTTGTAACAAAAAATAATTTTCAAATTTTTTATTTTATTTTTTCCCATATTTTTATCCTAAATCTTGATAAACCATTCAGAAATGAGGAAATTTTTATAATCTATTTTTTTCTTCAAAACTTCAGATTTTGGTTTTAGGAGTAAAAAATGTTTTTTTTTTGCAGTTTTTGGTTGATATTTTACCCCTTAGATCCGGATCCATTGATCCGCATATTTTTGCGGATCCGGATCCAGAAAGCCAAAATCTTGCGGATCCAACGGATCCAGATCTGGATCCTAAGCACTGCTTTTAAGTACAGTTTAGAGCAGTAATAGACACAATTCTAAACGAATTTTGCATGATAACTCACAAACATTGGATCAGTGTGCTCTATTATAATGTTCTCAAGCAGGAAAGTTCAATTAGTTTACATTTCTATTTAAACTGTCCAATGATAGGGAGTGTCCTTTAAAAATATCCGACTTTTTTTAAAGAGAGACCAGAAATTTTTATTAAATCAGTTGAAATAACAAGAAA